CCACCTGAGAGAGACCAGACACACCTCCACCTGAGAGAGACCAGACACACCTCCACCTGAGAGAGACCAGACACACCTCCACCTGAGAGAGAGACCAGACACACCTCCACCTGAGAGAGAGACCAGACACACCTCCACCTGAGAGAGACCAGACACACCTCCACCTGAGAGAGACCAGACACACCTCCCACCTGAGAGAGACCAGACACACCTCCACCTGAGAGAGACCAGACACACCTCCACCTGAGAGAGACCAGACACACCTCCACCTGAGAGAGACCAGACACACCTCCCACCTGAGAGAGACCAGACACACCTCCCACCTGAGAGAGACCAGACACACCTCCACCTGAGAGAGACCAGACACACCTCCATCTGGGAGAGACCAGACACACCTCCACCTGGGAGAGACCAGACACACCTCCCACCTGAGAGAGACCAGACACACCTCCACCTGAGAGAGACCAGACACAAACATGGAGGCTAACGCTAGCTGAACAGTAGCAGGCAGGTGGAGTAGGAGCAGAGAGTTGATTGTCCACAGCTGTGCAGGAGTGTACAGGAGTGTACAGGTGTGTGCAGGAGTGTACAGGAGTGTGCAGGTGTGTACAGTAGTGTACAGGAGTGTGTACAGGTTTGTGCAGGAGTGTGCAGGAGTGTACATGTGTATACAGGAGTGTACAGGTGTGTGCATGAGTGTACAGGTGTGTGCATGAGTGTACAGGTGTATACAGTAGTGTGCAGGTGTGTACATGAGTGTACAGGAGTGTACTGGTGTAGTGTGCAGGTGTGTACAGGAGTGTACAGTAGTGTGCAGGAGTGTACAGTAGTGTACAGGAGTGTACAGGTGTGTACAGGTGCAGTGTGCAGGAGTGTACAGGAGTGTACAGGTGTTTACAGTAGTGTGCAGGTGTGTACAGGAGTGTGCAGGTGTATACAGGAGTGTGCAGGAGTGTACAAGTGTATACAGGAGTGTACAGGTGTGTGCAGGAGTGTACAGGTGTGTGCAGGAGTGTACAGGTGTGTGCAGGAGTGTGCAGTAGTTTGTATGAGTGTACAGGAGTGTGCAGGAGTGTACAGGTGTGTACAGGTGTATACAGGAGAGTACAGTAGTGTGCAGGTGTATACAGGAGTGTACAGTAGTGTACAGGTGTATACAGGAGTGTGCAGGTGTATACAGGAGTGTACAGGAGTGTACAGGTGTGTGCAGGAGTATACAGGAGTATACAGGTGTATACAGGAGTGTGCAGGTGTGTACAGGTATAGTGTACAGGTGTAGTGTACAGGTGTAGTGTGCAGGTGTGTACAGCAGTGTACAGTAGTGTGCAGAAGTGTACAGGAGTGTACAGGTGTAGTGTACAGGAGTGTGCAAGAGTGTACAGGAGTGTGCAGGTGTAAACAGGTGTGTACAGGAGTGTACAGTAGTGTGCAGGAGTGTACAGGTGTGTGCAGGTGTGTACAGTAGTGTGCNGTCCTCAGTATCACCTGGTCCATTTAAAGCTCTTACCTGTCAGATCCAGCTTCACTCTGTTTCACTTCAAGCTAAAAGTAGACACTTCAAACTTGAAACCAGTTTTAAATAAACTTCAGTCTCAGGATGTTTTTCTGCTGTTACTCCTGAGTTATTTATCAGAGTTATAAATAATAAACAAACAGCTGGTTCTGTAGTTCTGCTGCCATCTGGTGGTGAGGATGGAGGCTGCAGCCTCTCAAACTGCAGCTGGTTTCTGACTTTGGCTCAGGCTTAGTTTGTTTTAACAGGATTAGTTTGAGCCTTCATCACCTCCTCCTCCTCCTCCTCCTCCTCCTC